TTTTTCCTTGACAACCACTCTGAGATGCTATTATTCCCATTTTCCACATGAAAATACTGAAGCCCAGAGAGGAGTAAGTAGTTTGCCCAAGGTCACACAGCTAGTAAATGGACAGCCTGGGATTTCAATCCAGTCAAGTGAGGCTGTAGGATACGTGCTCCTAAAGACTGTATTGTGTTGCCTTTCTCAGAATGATAACCACTCATATTTATTGGCCACATACTGGAGGGCAGATGCTCTTCTAAGGTCATTGTATGTATTAGCACATTGGGTGTTTACGGCACACTTGCCTATGGTGGTGTTATACTGGAAAGTGGCGGGGCCATTGACTCTAGTCACTGTAGCTCCAGAGCCTGTGCTCTTCACTGCTGCACTGTGCCGTAGCTTTTTTCTTCATTGTTGCTCAGAGTGGTAGTTTTACTCTCTTTCCTGTAAGAACTCTACAGCATGGTGACACAGAGCACACTGAATACTGTATGCCAGGAGACAGTATTCCCCACAGGATGATGTCTCAGCCATGGGAACATTTTTGTTATACTATGAATTGTCGTGGCAATCACAGTACCACTGACGTGTGCACTTGTGATCTTTTCCCCCTACAAAAGAGGCTGGCTGGAGGGCACCTCTGATTTCACGAAGAGCCCTAAGTTATCCTAAAGCCCTTCTTTTATCTCACCTCATCTCCGATCATAATCTTCATAGTTTATGTCTTTTCTGAGTGTCCAGGCTACAGCTGGAAATTTATGTTAGGAATTCTGGTGCAAGACTTCGGGCTGTTGCCACAGATTTCAGAATTATATGGGTACAACTGATATTCAAATAAATTTACAGGGACTGCCTGAGAAGATGATTGAAACAGAAATTTTATGATTTCATTTTAAGGATGAGATAAAGCAACCAGAAACTTTCTACTCTTGCAGGCAAATGTTCTTATAATTCCCCAACATAATTCTCCAGATTTTTGTGACTGTAAATTTTATTTTTGCCCTTCCTGTTTTAAGTTCCTTATAGATAATATTATACAAAGAAGAAAAATCTCCCATTATCCCCTCTCACTTAGACCTGCTGATATTTAGGGATATTTATTGAATTTATCTTTTTTCCTCATACATGAGGCCTGTCTAGAAGGTATCCAGCCATATAATATGAAAAGTAGAGACATTTATTGAAGAAGATACAAGAAACATTGTACATAGGACAGTGACACCTCAGTCTCCTTCAAAATAGGTATAGTTCTCCCAGTTGCCATCAGCTGCCCCATAGTATTTTCCTGAATCTCATAGATGGTCTGAAATCTCTTCCCTTTCAGAGGTAATTTTAGTTTGGGGAAAAGCCAGAAGTCACAGGGCACCAAATCTGGGCTACAGGGGGACTGAAATTACCCGGGTGATTTGATGTTTCGCCAAAAAACTCTGCGTGAGACATGATACATGAGCAGGTGCATTGTCGTGATGAAGCTGCCAGTCACCAGTTGCTCATAGCTGCGGCCCTTCTGAATCATCTGAGTAGTTTTGGCAGAGGAATGTTCGAGCTTAAAACAAAATTTGGTGCAGATTCATTGCTCTACCCGCTCAGTCATTTTGAATACAATAGCCACACAGTACACGTGACGTGCTCACTCAGTGGCATCTACCACCACCACTGACTAGTATAGTGAGGTGGTAGTTGTTTACACATGTACATTCCAGTCCTCTCCTAGGCTGCCAGGTTACACTGATGTCACACAAACCACTCATATTAACAGTGGCTGGATTTCATTATAAATGTGTGAGTGTTTATTATAAAATTGGATTATAAAGTAATAGTCTCACAGTCTCCTTTTTTCTGTTAATATTTTCTGAATGTGCATATTTAGTATTACATATTTCTTTGAAAACTATAGTTGCATAATAACTTCAAACTCATGTACCACTTAGTTTACTTAGCCATTCCTATGTTTTGAACCAGTTTTTGATTGTTTCCATAAAGAATTAGTTACCGGGTAGCAGGTGGGAGAGGGATGCAGTTTAGGAGAGAAAAGGAATCATTTTTTAATAAAACTGGATTTTATCCGTTTAACTGAATTGACCAAATACTTGGTGAGCCAAGTGTCAGGCCCTGTGATAGACTCTGAGATGCAGGTGTAAAGCCTTTCACATTGAGAACAGATAGGAGTGAAGGTCTGAATTAAAGTCACAGTAGAGGTGGGGATACAGAAGGCAGGAAGGATTCCCAGAGATGCTTAAGTGGGAAAGTCAGTTTTTGAGTTGAGGGGGGTGGGGTCCTGTGAGTTAGTGGGAGACATCTAAGATTAGTCCCGTATTTCATCTTCGGGTAACTAGGCTAAATGGTGGTGTCATTTGTTAGTATACATAGGGCCCATACAAGGGGAGAGCAAATTTGCTTGAAGTGTTGTTTGGGCATAGTGAATCTGAGGCTCTGTGGGCCACTAGGGAGAAATGTCAGTTGGGCAGATGGATAGATGAATCTAAGACAAGAGCTCTGAACTAGAGGTGGATCTGTGTGTCACTGGCCCCTAGATTGTGATCTCAACCGCAGCCCTAAGACCTGGGGGAACTGCCTTGAGAGAACATACACTTGAGAAGAGGGCCAAGGGTAGAACCCTGGGGAATGCCAGTGGTTAAGGGTTGGGAGGGACGTAGGGAAGCATGTGACAGAGACAACAAGAATGGGAAAGAGGGTGTGGCATGTGGTTGCTGAAAGAATAGAAGAAAATGATGGACAAGAGTGTCATGCTTTGTTGTAGAGGCCCAGGAGGAGAACCACTGGCAAGTGTCTCTCTAGGGCTTGGCAATTACAAGATCACTGGTAAGACTTTTAAGGGAGTCGTGGGAGCAGAAGGAGGCATGACAGGGGAACGGTGGGTGAGGAAATGGTGTGTGGTGTCTAGAGAAGGAAGGCAGACATTGTCAAGTATGGTGTGGAAGGAGGGTTTTGTTTAGACTTGAACAAGTTCGTGTGCTGATGAGAAGGGTGAAAGAGATAGAAGTTGCTGGAGAAGGGATGGTCGGTGATAAAGCAGAGGACCAGAGAAGAGTGGTGGGTTTGGAGCATAGGTGGGGGGATTAAACTTGGACCAGAGGGAAATACATTCTCTGAGAAAGCATGGAGTAGGTGGGAGCAGTTGCTGGTACAGTGGAAGTTGCTGGCAGCAGCTCAGTTTTCTCAAGACATTAGCTCAGAATGAGGCAGACTGGGTGGGAGATGGGCTTGAGGATGGTGATAAGGTTTGGAATACCTGTGCTGGGAAGTGGAGGGGTGAGGGGACTTAGTCGGGGCCCAGGGACCAGCCATAGCGACACTGTGATTCCATAGTTAGGTCCCGATTTATGAAAATACTCATTTGCATGATTGTGTGATTCTCCACCAAGACCCTAGGGCTGAGGTAAAGGAGAAGTTTCTTGACTGATACGTCCTTAGGGGAAGCCTTCCCTGATGTCTTAGGTTAAATTTCTTTATTATAAGTTCTTACAGTTTTGTTCTTTCCTTCTGGTACTCATTGAGTTGTAGTTTTGCATTTGATTGTTATAATTTTTATTATATAAAAGTTCACTTTCCCCAATAACCAAAAGCTTTTAGGAAAGATATGTCTGGTTTTGCTTACCATTGTACAGTGTCTGGCACATACCTAACCTAGTGGGCACTTGGTAGACATGTGTTGGATTTAATGAGTCAAATATAATGGTTCTCCCCGTGGCGGAGCAGCGGTTCACCCTGTCCCCGGCAAAATGATGAGATGGTTGAGGGGAGCTTGCAACAGTGTTGGGAGGACGCTTCAGGGCCCGTCCCACACACCCTTTCTCTTGCAGAGGCCTCGGGCACCCGTGATCCAGACCATGGGTGGCTCCATTATGAGATCACCTCCACCAAGTACACTCGAGACATCTCACTCCTTGGTGGCCTCACTCTTCATGGGATTTGGGGCCCTATTCCTCCTGTTCTGGGTTGGCATCTACGTGTGAGCTCCCAAGGATTCCAGCAGGCAGCTTCACTGAATCCCTGCTTTTGTAAATTAAGTTTTTTACTGTTGCTGGAAGTGTCCCGCCTGCTGCTCACAATAAAGGCAGATGTGTGACCATCAAAAGATTATATATATATATATTTTTTTGCCCTGGCACACCTGTGGAATACGACTTGCTTCCATTTGAACCATTGGTGACTGCCCTGATCCTCTCTTGAGGAAGGACAGGAGTTGGATGGTGTGCGGTAGTGGGTGAGAATCACAGGCCCCGGAGTGAGAACACCGGGGGTACTGCCAGCCCCACCTCTCACCAGCTTTACGACCTTATGCAAATACTTAACCTCAGTGTCCTCGTCTGTAAAATGTGGCTAATGATACGACCTACCTCATGTGGTTGTCATGAAGCTTATGAGAGAATTCCCAGAAAGCTTTTAGAACATTGTGTGACACGTGAAAGTTAGTTACTTCTACTAGTGGTTTGAAAAAGCCTCCTAGGCACCCTGGCCAGGGTGGCTCAGATGGTTGGAGACTCATCCCATAAACTGAAAGGTCGTGAGTTCAATTCCCACTCAGGGTACATGCCTATGTTGTGCGTTTCCTCCCCTGATTGGGTTGGGGGACTTATGAAAGGCAACCAATCCATGTCTCTCTCCCTCCTTCCCCTCTCTCTCAAATCAATGAGCATGTCCTCTGGTAAGGATCAAAAGAAAAAGCCTCCCAGGCAATTTTGGTAATCTTCCCTTGAGACTCATAGCTTCATGGTAAAGGATTTGCAGGGGAAATGTGTCTGTTCATTGTCATATTGAATATTGATCTTCAAGGGAAACTGAGAAATCTCTGGACCGTGATGGTCTTTTTGGCCTTGTGACCCAGCGGCATACTGAAACAGAACCATTTTTGGTCCTGTGTGAGTATCAGAAGTAGTAGAAACGTGTGACTAGTCATCTTGGTAGCCATCCTATCTGTGAAATGAGAGATTAGTGAATGTTGTGTGCTTTATACCTGCTATGGTAAATGTGACTCTTTGTTTCCCTTGCAGAGGAGGTGGCCAAGTTGGAGAAGCACTTGATGCTTCTCCGACAAGAATATGTCAAGCTGCAGAAGAAATTGGCAGAGACAGAGAAGAGATGCACTCTTTTGGCTGCACAAGCAAACAAGGATAACAGCAATGAGTCCTTCATCAGCCGCCTACTGATGATCGTGGCTGACCTCTATGAGCAGGAGCAGTATAGGTGAGCGAGCTCCTGGACACAGCCAGCTTAGGGAAGCCAGCCCTTTACCTTTATACTCAGGCCACATTGTAACTTCTCCTCTCTTGTTGACTTTCTTTCCAAGTTTATTTCTCTCTAATGGGGATCTTAGCAAACCTTTAGTTTCTGAAACGTAAGTTCCTTGAGGCAAGATTTAGTTTGTTTTCTGCTTATAAGGGAGTCATGGTGATAGCATGTCTGGTGCAAACAGGAATTGGTTTATATGTCCAGGGATTCAGAGAGAAGTCACTTTCTCTTGGGGTGGTCAAAGAAGGAGTATGGAAACTAGTGGGTGGTGTAGCGTGGTGGTCGAAAGTGGTTTCTAGAGCCACATAGCCTGTCTTAGAAGCTATGTGACCTGGAGTTACATGCCTCCAGTTCCTAATCTGCTTGTGAGGATGTACTACTCCCCACTCTAGGGTTGTTGTGAGGATTAATAAATACATGTTTTAAGCACTTTGACAGTGTTTGGCACATAGTAAGTATTCAGTTGTTAGGTGCTATAATTAAGTGAATTTTGAGGTAAATATTGAGGCCTAGGTAGGATTTAATAGAAAAGACAGTGATATTACTGGTAGAGGGAGTGGCTAAGGATAGGCTCAACCAAGGGAATATGCAGAGGATTTAGAATATAGTGAAGGGGCCTTTTCAGAGTACATGTCCATGTAGGGAAGCACTGGGAGAGGGGGAAAGGTAGGGTGGATTGTATTGGGATCCCAAGATGAGGAATTTGGACTTGATCCTCTAGAAAGCGTTGGAACAGTATTTTTGAGTTGTAGGACTGTCACAATCAAAAGTGTTCTAGGAAGATTAACCTGGTAACATTATATAGATGAAACTCTTAAGAGGGCTGGAGAGCAGCTGTGATATTGTTAGTAGTTCAGATCAGAAATGATTAAGGACTGAATTGGAATAAGACAGTGATGTAGAAAAGAAACATGAATGTGAATATGCAGAAAAGAAAGGATTTGGCTACTAGTAAAATGGATGATTAGACTAGATGAGGCTTAGTAAAATTTCAAAATTAAATTATGACATTTAAAATAGATCAAAATCAACTTCTAGTTAAGATGGAGGCATAGATAAATACAGCTCGCCTTCTTGCACAGCCAAAGCAAAAGTTATGACTAAACTACAAAACAATTATGACCCAGAACCATCAGAAAATTGAGCAGTGTGGAACTCCCACAACCAGAGAATTAAAAGAAGTCACATTCATCCACTTGGGTAGGAGGGGCAGAGACAGGAAGACATAGTATAGGTGGTCTCACACCCATGTGCTGTGCATAAAAATTGAGAGGAGCCCTGGCTTGTGAGGTTTAGTGGGTTGGGTGCCGGCCTGCAAACCAAAGGACTGCCACTTTGATTCCTAGTCAGGGCACAAGCCTGGGTTGCAGGGCAGCTCCCCATTTGGGGGAGTGTGAGAGACAACCACACACTGATGGTTCTGTCCATCTTTCTCCCTCCCTTCCCTTCTCTCTAAAAATAAATAAAATATTTTTTAAAAAAATATTGGGAGGAATACCTCAGGAGCAAGGGGTCTCAGCCCAGGGTTCCAGTGCCAGGAAGATAAGTCCCCATAACTTCTGGCTGTAAAAACCAGTGGGGGTTGCAGCAGCAGAAGAAACTATGCCATCCTCAGGAATCTCCTCTTAAAGGGCCCTCAATGGACTTAGGACTTACATAGACTCACTCCCTCTGGGCTCTAGTTCTGGGGCAGCAGGTGGAAGGATACCAGCAGTGTACAGGGGGAAATGGAAATATCTGGTATTACAGTGAGTGCTGGGGGATAGCTTTCTCCCAGACACTCCAGAGGCCGGGCAACAGCATTGTCCTCTTTCTGAGCCCTCCCACCACACAGAGCCACACGTAAAGACACCATATCAGAAGTTCATCAGCATGGTTCACATTGGTTGCCCTGCCCTAGCAATTACCTAAGGCACCACCCCCACCAACTTACTGGTGTGCTTTTCAAAGATTTTATTTATTTATTTTTTAGGGTGAGGGGAAGGAAAGGAGACAGGGAGAGAAATATTGAGATACTTGAGAGTTACATAGATTGGTTGCCTGTCTCACTTCCCGATCTGGTCCCACAACCCAGGCATGTACCCTGACTGGACCTGAACCAGCCACCTTTTGGTTTGAAGGTCAGCGCTTAATCCACTGAGCCATACCAGCCAGGGCCTGATGTGCTTTCCTACACTAGACCACACTACTGAGATAGGGAATCAAAGTAGCTCTACCTAATACATGGAAATAAACACAGTGAGGCTACCAAAATGAGGAGACAAAGAACTATGGCCCAAAAGAAAGAACAGAACAAAACTCTAGAAAATGAACGAAACAAAAGGGAGATAAGCAGCCTATCAGATGCAGAGTTCAAAACTAGTTATTAGTGTGCTCAAGGAACTCATTGGGTACTTCAACAACATAAAAAAGTCTTAAGCAGAAGTGAAGGTTACACAAAGTGAAATTTAAAAAAAGCTTATAGGGAGCCAAGAGTGAAGTGGACAAAGCTGAGACTCAAATCAGTCAGTGATTCTGGAACATAAGGAGGAAAAACAAAAAACTTAATCAGAACAGCAAGAAGAAAAAAGTGTCCAAAAAAACAAGGATAGGCTAAGGAGCCTCTGGGGCAACTTCAAACATGCCAGCATTCGAATCATGAGTGCTGGAAGGAGAAGAGAAAGAGCAAAAAATTTGAAATCTATTTGAAAAAATAATGAAAGCAAACTTCTGTAATTTGGTGAAGGCAATGGACATATAAGTCCAGGAAGCACTGAGAATCCAAAACAAGATGGATGCAAAGAGGCCCACACCAAGACACTTCATAATTAAAAAGCCAAAGGTTAAAGATAAAAAGAGAATCTTAAGAGCAGCAAGAGAAAAATAAGACAGTTACCTACAGGGGAGTTCCCATAAAACTGTCAGCTGATTTCTCAAAAGAAACTTTGCAGGCTAGAAGGATTGGCAGGAAATATTCAAAGTCATGAAAAGCAGGGCCTACAGCCAAGATTACTTTATCCAGCAAAGCTATTATTTAGAGTCAAAGGGCAGATAAAGTTCTTCCTAGGTAAGGTAAAGCTAAAGGAGTTCATCATTGCTAAGCCATTATTATATGAAATGTTAAACAGACTTATTTAATAAAAAATGTTCAAAACCATGAACATTAAAATGACAACAAATTCACAACTCTCAACACTTGAATCTAAAAAACTAAGCAAACAGAACGGCAGCAGAATCACAGATATGGAGATCATTTGGAGGGTTATTAGTTGGGAGGGGGAACGGGGAGAATGAGGGGAAAGGTACAAGGATAAGAAGTACAGGTGGGTAGGTACAGAATAGACGGGATGTTAAGAATAATATAGGAAATGGAGTAGCTTAATCATTTCTAAAAGAAAGAAAAAATTTAATGCCAAAAAAATAGGGAACACTCTACACTGAATAAAGGTCAGCCTAATTGAATGGGTATAGCCACTTATAGAATATAGTTCATTGCCTTTTTAAAATTTTTCCCCTATTTTCCCATGGACAAGTAAGAACTTTATTTCTCTTCACCCAGGCGGGGAATCCTTACATTTTTTTGTTACGAGCACATTTTTCCCACTCTCCAGGGCCTTTACCATTAGAATCTACATTTCTTTTTCAACTACTTATCAATCAAATGCATTCATTATAAACTGTAGTCTCTCTAGGATATAATGGGCATGAGACTGGGCAATTTCCCCTCCTGGCTGCCTTTTACTAAGTAAGCTATGGTGTGATTTCGTGGTTCCAGTGGGTCTCTCTCCACCTGTCCTTTATCTAAAGGTCGAATACCTATCTACAATTGACTATGACACTTCACAGAGGACTGAGATAGAGTAACTAAAATTGGAAGATAAGTTTCTGAAGCAGTTGTTCTTTTACCAAAATAAAAAAAAAAATGCTTTTTCCCATAAACATGCATTTTGTTGAAAAATTTAAATAGTATTTTTATTTTTATGTGCATCAGTGTTAAAAATTCTTTAGTGTAGAAATGTGTCCATTTGTTTTTACTTAAGTCCAGGAGAAGGCTTTTGTCCCATAAGATAGTTAAAAATGATGGTTTATGTAGTTATTTACTACATTGATTCTTTTAGCAACCAAGCTTATAATTTTTCCCATTAAAGTGTTTGATCAAGAAACTCTAGCAAGAATCTGTTTACCCTTGTGACAGCATACTAGTGTCCATATTTTAAAAGGAAGTGCTCTTGAACTGCTTAGAATGAAATGAAAATAATTACCAGTCTCTTAGTTATTTCTACATAGAGTCCTCATAGACTTGTTCAGTTTTTCATTTTTTAATATTTAAAAAGTTAGTATTGTAAATTGTTAAGTGAAATCCTTAACTTTATTTTCCTTTGGCATGTTAGTCTATGAAAGAGAAAAAAATTTGTCCTAACATTCATGAATAGTAGTTGGAATTTTATAGAAACATTTATTTTTACAATTTTGTGGCTAAAATAGTAAACAGTGAATATTCATTTAAATTACCAGAATTCAATACTTGATAAATAAATTTAGAATGTAAAAATTGTGCATTGTAAATAGCTTTTTGTTTTTATTAAATTTTAAAAACTTTACCATAGGATATGAGACATAATTTTATGTTCTGTTTGAAGTAGAATATTAAGTCCATTTCATTTATATTAATTAGTAATGCTCTACTGTGTTAGTTTGAATTATTTCAAGTAATAAGTATTCTGTTACTTTTCTGATCTAACATAATAAGTTGTAGTTTGGTCTTTAATCGAACTAGAAATTTTTTTAAGAGCTTTTTTTTTTCAAGATTTTATTTTTATTTTATTTTCAGAGAGAGGGGATGGGAGGGAGAAAGAGAGGGAGAGAAATATCAATGCGTGGTTGCCTCTCATATGTTCATTATTGGGGGCTTGGCCTGCAACCCAGGCACGTGCCCTGACTGGGAATTGAACCCCCACGACCCTTTGATTTGCAGCCCCTGCTCAATCCACTGAGCTATACCAGCCAGGGGTAGATTGTTGATATGCTTACATAATTACAAAGTATATTCTAAACAGTGCTTTTGTGGGGTAAAATGTGTCTGCATCAAGCATTACATAGAAATGGTGTTCTGGTTGGGATTTTTTAAGTGGCTGAGTTAAATCATAATAGTTTTTTTCTTTTTTACAGGTGACAGTTTTCATGTACTTAGTTTCTAAAGGCTTTCCAACTTAACAGTTATTTTAAAGAGGGGTTTGAAAATTTTAAAAAGACCTAAAAATAAGTAGGATGGTGGTAATCGATGACTTCGTAGTCCTGCCAGCCTGGCCACGTGGCACACACTGTGTCAGTTCAGTAGGTCATTCTTAGGTTTTTGTTCACTGCCTAGATGCTTTTTTCCCTGAGCATCTGACACTTCACAGTGTAAACATAAATAACTATTTGGAAAGCTCTTTTCATATGATGGTATGTCATAAATATGGAAACAGGTTGAGAAAACAGTTTCCTTCACATTCAATTGTCTTTATTAATGGTTGAGTAAAAGATGGCCACTAGTAGGTTTGCATGTTGTTTGTGAGAACGGGAGTCTAGATATTGGGTTTTATACACTGGACTCCTTTATCAAAGCTAATTTGTTCATAGGTTTCTGTTTTCCCTGCTTGAGCATTAATGAGGTTTGGAGCAGTATTGTAGTCTCACAGCTGTCATCACAGTGGCTGTGCTTCCTGTCTTTCTCCCCCCGTGATGTAGCTTGACTTATTCTACGTGAAACCTTTTCTACCCTTTTTAAAAGATTTTATTTATTTATCTTTAGAGGGGAAGGGAAGGAGAGAGGGAGAGAAATACCAATGTATGGTTGCGTCTTGTGTATCCCCTGCTGGGAACTGGCCTGCGACCCAGGCGTGTGCCCTGACTAAGAATCCTTTGAGAGACGATGATCCTTTGGTTCCCAGTCCCACGCTCAATCCACTGAGCTATGCCAGCCAGGGCCTTTTCTACTTTTTATATGACTATTAATCATCTTATTTTACAGTGCTAGCATAGAAAAATAAATTTGCTGTGATTTTTTTTCTTTTGCAGATGCATGTTGATCAATAGATACTTACATTTTTCAGTTGTGAACTGTAGCTATACCTAGTTACAATGACATTTTTCTTTTTATATTTGTGTATGTGTTGCTTTGTCAGTGACCTGAAGATAAAGGTTGGAGATAGGCATATCAATGCTCACAAGTTTGTCCTGGCGGCCCGCAGTGACAGCTGGAGTCTGGCCAGTTTGTCTTCCACCAAGGAGCTGGACCTATCAGGTGAGCCTCTGACCAGTTGGGGACTCAAACCTGCCAGCACAGGAAGTCTTGGCAGAAGGTTAAGGTGTGTCATTTTGAAGAATTTGTGGTTTAATGAAAGTGTAATATTTTTCTTAGCAATCAGTGGTGGTTATGAACTAGTAAATAATTAGTGAATCATTAGGTTTACTACCTGGCTAATAAGTAGTAAATATTTGAGTATCTATAGTATTTTTTCTTTTAAGCCTCACCTGAGGATATATTTATTGATTTTGGTTGGAGAGAGGGGGAGAGAGAGACAGACAGACAGACACAAGCATTGATCAGTTGCCTCATACACTCCCTGATTGGGGATGGAACCCACAACCTTTTGGTGCATGGGACATTGCTCCAGCCATCTGAGCCACCCAGGCAATGCTGTAGTACTTTTATAATTATAAACTTTAAGTCTGTCCAGAAGCTTTTTATATAATAGTATGCTATAATTATGGGAGCACATGTAGAAAAAAGACTGTCATTCCAAAAAAAACGTCCTGCTGTTCAGTTGCTTAAAATGTAATCATGGCTTCCAGAGTACTTTTTCTGGTCTATAAGAACTGAATTCAGAAGTAATAGTTACTCCAAAAAATAACAGTATTCTTTATTTAAAATCAAAGGATGTGCCTCATTCTTCATGATTTGAATAGGTGCACTGAGCTGCTTAAAGTTGTTATTTAGTTGTTTTATTCCACATTGTGTTGTGTAGAATTTGGATAAATATGGTGGTAAATAGACAAAAATACTTTCAAAAGCTTACTTTAAAATACATTTTTAGATAACATTTATCTAACTGCTGTTTTTTAATTATTTTTTAAAGATTTTATTTATTTATTTTTAGAGAGGGGAAGGGAGGTCGAAAGAGAGGGAGAGAAACATCAATGTGTGGTTGCCTCTTATGTGGCCCCCACTGGGAACCTGGCCCACATCCCAGGCATGTGCACTGACTAGGAATTGAACTAACGACCCTTTGGTTTACAGCTTGCGCTCAATCCACTGAGCTACACCAGCCAGGGCTTGCTGGTTTTTTTTTTTAAAAGCAAATTTTAACCCTAGCCATTGTAGCTGAGTTGGTTGGAGTGTTGTCCTGTACACCAAAAGGCTGCATGTTCAATTCCCAGTCAGGGCACACACCTGGGCTGTGGGTTCAGTTCCTAGTTGGGGCACATATGAGAAGGCAACTAATCAATGGTTCTCTCACATCAGTCTTTTTCTCTCTTCCTCCCTTCCTCTGTCTCTAAAATCAATAAACATGTCTTCATGTGAGGATTAAATAAAATTAATTAAAATTTAAAAAGCAAATTTTAAGTTATATTCTGCTATTAATAGTCATGAGAATTTCAATATATGGTAAGGAGAATACCTACACATTAAATTGTGAGTTACTTGCAGAAATAATTGGCCCTGTGGAAATTCTGCTGAATTGTATCAGCTCACAATTCAGAAGGTACTTTTTCCATGTGCAGTACTACGAACACTGAGACAATTATAGTCTTTGCCATATAGAGCTCATATTCTGTTAGAGGAAATGGGCTAATAATTATAAATCATTTCAGCCCTGGCTGGTGTGGCTCAGTGGATTGAGCACTGGCCTGCAAACCAAAGGGTCGCTGGTTCGATTCCCAGACAGGGCACATGCCTGGGTTGTGGGCCAGGTCCCTAGTAGGCAGCGTGTGAGAGGCAACCACACATTGATGTTTCTCTTTTTCTCTTTCTCCCTCCCAAATCATTTCAGGCCAGGACTATGTATATGATAATATAATTACTTTATATCTAATGTACAGAAGACACAAACTTGGGCTGTTTAGGAAGGTGTCAGAGGTAACTTAACACCTTAGCAGTGTTGCAGAGGTTAAGTAGGCACTTATCTCAAGGATTTAGGGAGGCAGATGCCTAATGCTTCTCTATGGTCAATGAACTCACAGTATGATCATTTGTAGTGTTTATTTAACCTGAAGTCCCTAAGTCAGAGTTGTAAACATATGAATATACATGCGTGCACGCACATGTGCCTATGCATTCATGTCTATAACTGAAACATGTGCTTGGGAAATAGTGTTTACTGAAATGGCACCAGTCCACATGATTGAAATATCTGAGCAGAGCTTTTCTGTTTTAAAAATCTTTTGAAGCCATATGTCTTTGACTCCCTATTACAACTCTGGATAATGTTAAAACCCATCAGATCACAAGGTGTTCTTCACAAAATAACATGATAGGATCTTGATTACATGAACAGATAGATTGCAAAGATTAGAAGAGAAGAATAAGGAAATGTCCAGCTTTGTTAGAAAAAAAGTTTAGAATAAGTTAGCATCTTTTGATATCTACATGATCAGAAATTGATAACCCAAGTAGTTGAGGGGTTTATGAAATTGGTACTGTTACACATTGCCAGTCACACTATAAGTGGGTATGACAGTTTTAGAAAGTGGTCAGGGTATAAAATAATCCTATTTTTTTAACCTCATCATTTAACCTCTGTTGGATGGATTCTATCAAAAGGTAATTCAGACACAGTGTGGTATCACGTGTAATTGTGAAGTACTGAGTGTGACCAGAATGAATGAGAGTGGGAAAAATGAAATACCGGCTGCTCCCCAGAACAAATCAGATTGCACAAGAACATACCAAAAAATACATGGACATATAAAAGACCCAATTTAAACATTAAATTAAAATTTTTGTTTTTACTTTTTAGTACAGCATACATTTAAGAGCAACTTCAGCTCACTGACCATCTGACCAGAAGGTTGTATTACTGTGAATTAGGTTTTCTAGAGTTTAGGAAAGTAAAATGTTAATGACTTTCAGTGTGCCCGAACTCTTCTCCTGTTGTAAGTAATAAGCATGGTTTGATCCCTGCTATAAGGTTTGCTTTCAGGAGTGCTTCTCTGCAGAGAAAAGTTTTTTGTGGTGTTGGTAGATCAGGCACCTACTAAGACAGCTGATAGTAGAGCTATGGCATCTTTACTTTTTTTATACAATTTATCTTTGAAGTAAATCTGGGGGAGGATTCCAAGGAGGTGGTGGCATGTGTGACCCTCTTCACGTTTAATTGGGTTTTGCCCAGCAGTTCTGCTGAATTGCCTGGGTGGGTATAGGTGAGACTGCCTAAATCTGGGGTCGCAGCCGGTGAAACTGCCTAGGAGCCTGTGTGTTATGTGACACCTGGAAGCACTGACTGCATGGCTGGCCAGCAGTTTCAAGGAGATTGGAAATAGATCCCTGTAAACAAGTGTATAAATAGTGTAAAAGCTATGTTTTAAATGATTGGACTATTCCACACGAATGAGGTTGATTTAATAATTTTATTAATAGTGTTTCTCAAAATTATGTTATTCATATCACAGATGTTGAGTGGCAGGCACTTTTCAAGATGCTAGGGATACAGCAGTAAACAAAATTACATTTTTATTGCATGGAACGTGTATATTCTTAGAGAGATTGACTTTCTAAGCTCCACATTGATACTTCTCAACATTCAAAACGGCACAATTTTAATTCTATTAATTATTAAAGAGTTGTAGCATATGTTGATAAAGATACAATGGACATGGTTTAAAACCTACTTGGATATATGAAAATTTTCTTAAATCATGCCTTGTCCAAAAATGTAAAATGTTTTATGCCTGATACAACGTACTGACAAAGGAACAAATACTTCTGTAGGATTCTTGCCAGAAATGCATAACCTCAGTCTGATTAAGAGAAAGTATTAGCTCAAATTGAGGAACAGTCCTCTAAATAACTGGCTGGTATTACTGAAATACTTTAATTTTAAGGTTATGACAGATAAGATTTAGGAACTGTTACAGATTGAGGGACACTAAGGGAGCCATAATAACTAAATACAACGTGGAATCGTCACTTGGATTCTGTACCATAAAAAAGGACATTACTGGGAAAACTGGCAAAATTTATGAAGATCTATAAATTTGTTAATAGTACTATGTGGTCCTAATTACCTGATTTTGATCATTTTACTGTGGCTATAAGATGTTAATATTAGGGGAAGATGGGTAAAGGGTATATGGGAACTCTACAACTTTTCTGCAAGTCTGAAATTGTTTCAGAATGTATACATTTATTTCTTACTAATTATTTTAAGTATTAAAATGTGAGTTTGTAAAGATACTGATTGCTTATCTGTAAAGAGAAAGAATAATATAGCTATCAGCTCAACACAGTGTGACAAATGTTAAGGCCAAGAGAGCCCTATATTTCTTTATAAAATAAAACAGCTTGCTTCAGGCAAAGCTATTTGTTTATAGCTTCTCTATAGCTCTTAAGCAATAGCAGCTAACACTATGAGAGGTTCCAATGCATTGGAATGGCTGTTTTGAAGCTAGAGTTTCTTGCATGCTTTCTCCAGCAGAGATCTTACGGTTCCCTGGCATAAGATTTTATGGTGAGTCACTTGGTTTCCAGGAATGTGTCCTTGTGTTCATGCTGGGTAACAGAAAGCATTCTTCCCTCTGTCCCCATCTGGGTAGGAAAGCTATGCACTAAAGCAGCACCTGGGAGGGTACACTGTGCAGTGGCAATAGCCTAGTTTTAGTGTCCCAGTTCCATGCTGGGGCGCACGAAGGTGCCACCGCAAACTCACAGGGATCTGCATGATATTTTTAGTTTTTAAGAGAAACAACAGTAGTCAACATCTGTTGGCTATTGTGAGATAGTTTTTCATAGAAGGCATTGTGACTTTTTCCTTTCTCTATCTTGGATTCCTCGCTTTGTGAAAAGTTAGCAGGTGTGTCATAAGGACACTCAAACCAGCCTTGTGGCTTGTGGCTAGCGGCTGATCCCCCTCCAGAGATTGTCTTAGGGCTTCAAAAATCTATTTCATCTGAGGTTGTATCCCCTTACTCAATCCCAATGTTGCTTTTGTGTTTTTCTCCCTCATCTTTGATTATGCTCAGTTTGTTGGAATGTTGGTTTAAAATACAGCTTTCGCCCCGCTATTCAAAAGCAGAGATCTCCTA